TAAATGTTTTAGATGTAGTTATTCATTTATAACAGGCAAATGAAATAATACAATTATAATATATATATATACAACAAAAATAGAAGTGATATGTGTATTTTTAGGAAGACAAGCTAAAATAGATGTATACTGATATACCATAAAATACACAATAATATAGGTGTTATCAGACACTACCATCAAAGAAAACTTCTCTACACAAACTACCGAATTAATCTTTTTAAAACCGAGTGAGCTATTTTTAGAGAGAACCCTAAATTAAACTTCTGTATAACAGATTTTCACAATACAGCTGTAGGTTCTTGATTTCTCATCTGGTTTCTGAACACACAGAGCAACAACCAGGTGTGTTTAACAAACATCAGAGCTGTTCAGAACATTTTAACATATGTAAGTGCATTGTGTTTCATACAGTATGTTAAAGCTCTGTTACGGGATGTGCTTCATGACACAGTGGTCCCTGCAGGTTCAGTACAGGGTCTCTGTGGCCCACCTTGAGCTCAAGGGTTCTGGCACGCTGGCAGACGGGACACATCGTGCCTTCAACTGGAAAATAGTTATCCTGTGTCAGTAACGGCAAATAAGAGAATGCAAGGCAAGACAAGGCCAACTATAACAGTGCCTCTGGTAAAAGTATGAAAGTTTTTTTTTTAAATCAACATACTGTTTTGTCTTTTGCCAAATTAAATAGTTTTATATATCCATAACAGCATTTTCATATTAAAAGAAAAATAAATGATATAATTCAAAATAAATTACATCCATTCATTTTAGTATTTACGAAAATAATTAAGCTATATTGTATTAAATAAATTATTAAATTATTTTTCCATAGGAAAATATTTGCTGAAACCCAAACAGCAAAACTCTACTTCTAGAAGCAATACAAAACGAACATGCAGAAACTAGAAATTAACAATTTTCTGTAAAAGCTATAAATACTAAATGTAAAATGAGTTTCTCAACAATATCACATTTCCCGATTTATAAACAGCTTCTATGTTTCTGTCAAAGTCAACAGTAACGATGCAGAAGTGTATCATGACTCAATGCAGCCACCTAGTGTTCATACCGTGAATCTCACCAAACATTTTCAATATATCTCCAAATCTATATCACAATTTAGCCCACTATTTAAAATAAAAACACCGTGATATTTTTTCTATAGTTGCTGGATAACAGTAGACCACAATAAAACTAAGTAGATTTCAAATGAAACATTAACCATTAACAAATTTTCATTACAGGTCAGAAAATATTTCTTATATATTTTTTATATTTCAACCATTAATTCATTACAATTTCATTGTATGTTACCATTTACATTTTTACTGTTTTATGAAACGCCATTGTGACAACTTACCCCATTTATAGTGACAATTAGCCTCTCTAAACTTACAATAAATAAGAGCCACGAATTACTTCGCTTGACTTCCCTTAAAACCAGTAAAAAACACAAAGGTACTGCTTTAATTCACCTCTAAAATATGTAACCAACATTATGATCTTACACGATAGCCTTTTTTCCTATGAATAAGTCATATGCATTTATAATTAAGAATGCATATTAGCTGATACACATTAAAAGCTAGCTATCTTCCATCCAATTAGGCGGTGTTGTTAGTCAACTTCATTAACAAGTCTAGTATCAAGTCTAAATGAACACACTGCTATATTCTTAATATATATATCAGCTGTGTATATAAAGAATAGGGAAGTTTTTTTTTCATGCATTCAATTTGTAAGACCATTCTACATGCCACTGACCCAAGAGGGTTAAATAGAGTCCAGCCAACATGAGATGTCTTCTCCTAGACTCATTATCAGCCTCATGTACTGTATTTCCCATACTAATAATGAAACAGTGCAGCTGGATAAAACACACACACGCGTGATGAAGCATTAATTATGCAGCGCTAAACATCTATGAAACCAATTTGTAATCAGGAGGCGTGACAGCATACACTAGAGTAATAACACTGGAGCTCTCTTTACCCCTTATATGTGCACTAACAGATGCTGACGTATGTGAGGAAAGGCCTTATAAAAGATCAGTAAAACACCACAGACAGCACTAGCTATTAGAGACAGATCAATAACGGACATTTAGAATTTTTTCTGATATTCTTATCGGGTCTAACGATACGTGGCATCCTTTGCTATATCAAATTCAACAGAAAACAACTGTTTTACAGGTAGTTTTTTTTTTAATAAACAAAACAACAAACAAACACTAGCTTTCTATTTTATCTACTTGTTTTTCTTTGTGTGTATGTATATATATATACACACACACACACACAGGTGCATCTCAATAAATTAGAATGTCGTGGAAAAGTTCATTTATTTCAGTAATTCAACTCAAATTGTGAAACTTGTGTATTAAATAAATTCAATGCACACAGACTGAAGTAATTGTTTAATTGTGATGATTTTGGCTCACATTTCACAAAAACCCACCAATTCACTATCTCAACAAATTAGAATATGGTGACATGCTAATCAGCTAATCGACACAAAACACCTGCAAAGGTTTCCTGAGCCTTCAAGATGGTCTCTTAGTTTGGTTCACTAGGCTACACAATCACGGGGAAGACTGTTGATCTGACAGTTGTCCAGAAGACAATCATTGACACACTTCACAAGGAGGGTAAGCCACAAACATTCATTGCCAAAGAAGCTGGCTCTTCACAGAGTGCTGTATCCAAGCATGTTAACAGAAAGTTGAGTGGAAGGAAAAAGTGTGGAAGAAAAAGATGCACAACCAACCGAGAGAACCGCAGCCTTATGAGGATTGTCAAGCAAAATCGATTCAAGAATTTTAGTGAAATTCACAAGGAATAGACTGAGGCTGGGGTCGAGTCTCTCACAGTTGAGGTGTACCTACGATGAAAATTACAGATCTCTCCATTCTTTGTAAGTGGGAAAACTTGAAAAATCGGCAGTGTATCAAATACTTATTTGCCCCACTGTGTGTATATATATATATATATATATATATATACACACATACACCTTGCTATGTGTACTGCGTTAGGCTAACTGAGACTTGTCATTTGCACTTATATATGGTTGCTCTTTTGTTAGTTTTGACTGCTTTTATTGTCCTCATTTGTAAGTCGCTTTGGATAAAAGCATCTGCTAAATGACTAAATGTAAAGTAACTAGTTCAGTCTATAATTTGCATAAATTTCTCATTTCTTTCACATATAATTATTAAATCACATAATAATTTCTCATTTTCTTTCACATAACAGCCACTCATTCTCAAGTGAGAAACCCATAGGATTTTGGCCTAAAGTAAAAAAAAAAAAAAAACAGAAATAAAAATAATTTGCAACCATAAGAAAATCTAATGACATATATAAAATGATTATTAAAGTAGCAGTTATTTATGCCAGCAATAAAAACAAAAGTAAATAAAAATAAACTATTTATAATACACAATAATGATCATGCCAATAATTCTCATTTTGTCTCTCATAGTTGAGGTATACCTATGATGAAAATTACAGGCCTCTCTCATCTTTTTAAGTGGGAGAACTTGCACAATTGGTGGCTGACTAAATACTTTTTTCCCCACTGTATAATTATTACTATTGTTTTAGTAGTAGTTATGGTAGCAAAAAAAATGGATGCATCTGTAAATAAAATATATATAATGTATAGTTTTATTATTATTATTATTATCATTATTATATGTATTTGTTTATATAAAATATTTTTTTATATTAGTTATATAAAATATTTAGTATGTTTTATAATTATAATTATTAGGCCTATTATTACATAAAATATGCATCAAATATATTTTATTTACATTTGCTTTTATTGCTATAGTCATTTTTTAAGGGACAAATGTAGAAATAAAACAATGAACATTTTCATTGTTCTCTGACACTTAAACCTCAAATTACTCCGTATCGTTATACAAAATATTGTTCAATCTCTATTTGCAATTAGTTGACATAAAAAATTGTTTGCTATGGGTGATTTACTTTGGTCTTTGTTTGTGAATGAGAAGATGACATAAAACAAATGTTCTATTAAAATATATCACAACTACAACTCAGTAATCATAGCAATCATAATCAAGTACAACCAACTATAAAAGCTCAAACCAAGACATGTAATGCATCATCAGATAGAGTCACATTAAACATTTGAACTCCAAGTGTAAATCTGCACTATGTGGCACAGCTCTATACACTGAATGCTAAATAAACTGTATCATACAGCAGAATAGGGAATAAAGGGAGTATAATGCGTTTGCTCGGCTCTGTAAATGCAATCAAAACAGTGACACGAGGGTGTGTTTACATTAAAGCGGACGTGACGTCAAAGGTTTTGAACCTCAGCGACCGCGCACAGGGCTATTGAATTAGCTAAACGTTTTACGATTTATTGCCAGCTTGCCAACGTACTTTTTACGAGCTGATTTTTTTGTACTTTGTATTCTTTTAGCTGTGCGGTTTGATCCAAAGGTGAGACGAACGTCTAAAGGCCTTTGCGCATGTTATAGGACTATGCTAGTTAGCCATCGGCTACCCTACTGAGCACAGATAAACAAACCATGATATCTGTATCAAATGCTTCTATTTGACAGCGGATGAATGCATATCATTTGTCCACCGTGTTTCTAAAATGTTAACCATAAGATTGGTTGTGCAATTGTGTGCTTATACACCAAAACAATTAGTAGAGATCGCGTGCAAATGCTGCCGTTTTGTTGCAAACATGTTTTCCAACACATGAAATAAAATATTTTGGTAATTTAAAAAAATCTGTGCACTCAATATGTATCCACGTCGAAGCCCGCAAAACTATATTTTTTTGGACTATTATGCCTTGCATAAGAAAGTAGTTTGTTTGCAACTTTTTGCAAAAATTGTGCAGACTCTTGTTTGTTTAACCTTCAATTTGAGTTGTCTAAGTTACTCACACATTGAGCACAATCTCCAACACGCTGCCACAGTGATGTCGTTTTTGTTTTCCGCAACATACCTGCCTTAAAGCTTCTCGTATGGTTCTCTAACAAGTTGTCATTGCTTCTTTGTTCTCTCTTCTTTTCTATACGACTGCATGTAGGATGGATCTTCAAAAAAGAATCCACGACGCGCTGTACGACTTCATTTTGTCATATATTCCTCATGCGGATCTGAGGTGAGGGCGTGTCACTTCATACCTTTAATTAAAGTAATTTTTTCTCCTCAATCATTAAAATATACCAGTGATGTGTTTTTTGTTTTGATCAGTACTCTAGATGATGTGATTTTGTCCTACATCACTGGGGTGCTAGAGGATTTGGGATCTCAAGAAAGTGTGGAGGAAAACTTTGATGTAGAGGTGTTTGTTGAAATGTTGGAGGCATACATTCCTGGTTTTTCAGATATTGACAGGTAGCTGTGGGCAAGTTTAATCCTACTGAGATTTACAATTTTATATTAATACTGTGTAATATTTTCATTTTTTTGACTGCTGGTATTTATTTATTTTTTTCTTATAGTGTCAAAGTTTGTGAGATGATGTTTAATCTGGCATTAAAGTTGGCCTCAGCCCGAGACACAGGTAATTTTCCTTTCGTAGCAGATGTTGCATTTTTTATTATATTATATTAGATACATTCAGTTTTGTCATAAAAAGCAAATCAACCAAAAATTAAAAAAAAAAAAAAAAAAACTGGCCCCCTGCTATCCTGAATAACTATTAGCATGTGCACAGGACAAAGGCACTTATGTGAAGAAACAAGAAAATATCCTGCCCTCTGAAATGTGATTTGTGTCTGTGTTTAAGAATCTGGAGAGATGAAAATAGAAGACGGTAAATTTCCCCTCTCAGAAAGCCCTTCTTTAACCCACGGAGGTTCAAGAGAAATGACACACAACCTCACATTACAAGCAGAGGGAGCCACAGCTCAGGTAATGGGCCTTTCAAGCACATTCACATGTACCAGATGCTGGTTTGCAAATCAATGTGTTTGGGAATGTGTTTTCAGGTTAATGCATCATCGTGGAACACACAGGAGCAACATCTTCTTGAGATGTTTCCTAAATGCAGTGTGGCTGAGGCCAGAAGTGCGTTGTCTATTGCTAAAGGAGACATGGAGGAAGTTGTTCGTCTCATTATTGAGGGAGATATCCAGCTTAAGTGCCCAACGTCTCTCGACGTAAGTTCATTTGTAACTCCTTTCACTAAAGTTATTCAATTTCATAAAACTTAATTATAGATAAAATGATCTATAATTATGGTTTTTGCCTATTATCTCTTTAACTTTTATTCAAGATTAATGGTTTGTATATTTGAAAGATATTATAGTAATATGTTGTTGCAGATCAGTTCAGTGTTGATAAAACTATTAAAAACAACTTTTGTTAATTGATATGAAGCTAAAATAAAATATAAATATTAGATGGAAAAAAATTAAAAGAAAATGAAAAATGTTTCGTCATATATTTGTCAAAACAAAAAAAAGTTTAAGTAAAAAATTAATAAATTGAAGCTAAAAAGAAAAAATGACAACTAAAATTACAATAAAAACTGATCATATAAAATAAAAGGATACTTTTTTTACAAAGTTTAAGAAAACATTAAATAATAGTATAGTTAATACTAAAATAACACTGATGCCTTAAAATTTTTATATTTTCAGGCAAACCAAGGGAAGACTGTTTCTGCTGAAGTTGATCAGAAACTTAAAGCAAGTATTTTAGAAAAGTGAGTTGTTACCTTGATCTCAAATTCTTTTAAACTATTTCACAAACTTATGTTGGATGTCACTGCAAGTTGCAAAAAATCAAATGTTTGGACCCTGCAGGTACATGCTGGTTGATAGTGAAGAAGACAAGAAAGTGCACAGACCAGTCACTCCAAAAGATGTACGTTTGCAGTGATTGCATTGTATAACATCAAGGAATTATGTGGATATTAATTCTTTCCACTTCCTGTATGGTCATCTGCAGGCTCCTAAGAAACTGGTGCGCTATCACGGCAGTCAGGTGGTCACCACAAAGGGAGAACGCTACCATCTAGTCAAGAAAGAAGAACCGGATGACATGAAGAAGACTTACGTTAGTCTCAAACCAGCACGTAAATATCGCTTTCATTGATGAAAGGCATCTTGATGATGGACCATTCAAAGTCAACCCTCTTTTTTTTATATTTGTGTCTGGTTATCTGACTGGAAACAAATGATTTAGTTTTTATTTAAATGTATCTCGGTCCAAATGTGTGTCCATTTGCATACATGGTGCTGAAAATTTTGTTTCTTGGGAGTTTTGATGTTTGAATTCGTATGCTGTTCTGTGTAATCTCCCAGCAGGTCTCTTTTTTCGAGCCCTTATGTGTTACTGTATTTATTTTTTAACTACTTTTTTTACTAAAACCTTAAGCTATACCTAAAAACATGAAGGTGTGTACATTTGACTGTTTTCTTTTAGCCAAACCCTGTTTTACAGATCATTTTAAGTCATTGAAATGTACCGCTAAGTGGTTGTTTTGTTATAAAATCAACCAATTTAGCTCGTTTTCGGTGGCAGGAAACAGTTGAACATCAGTGTTTGTATTTTGCATCAGTGTTTATTTTCATATACAGAAATAAAAATACTCCATATATGTTCCTACAGGGACGAAAGAATAGCAGGGTCTGTGTGACAGTTGATTTTAGTTGCGGTTCACAAACAAGGTCTGCCTGTTAATTTGGGATTCAGCACCTCATATACACTGGACAAGCTTTGGATAGACCAAACCTTCATCTGCATATTAGCTAGAGTTTGTTTGGCTATATTGTATAGTTGCTTTGCATAGTTTTAGTAATGGATGTGCTTTGTGTTCACTATTAACAATTGTATTGCCATATCCATATTACACCAGTATTTGAGATTTGTTTGTGCTTGATGTACTCAGTTTACATGTAGGCCTAAACCATGTTGTCTGTGGCATAGAATCACAGTATCAGCTGTCAATTACCAGTCACCTCCACCGTGGCCCTGAAACTGAAGTACAGTGATAAGATTCATATATATTAACATTATTTTTCAAGAACTGATGATGTTTTTGAGAGTAACCAGTAAAGAATTAATGTTTTATGAATGTTGTGTCTTTCCTCAGTTGTCTACTTGAAATACTTTTAAGCTTCTTAAAACTGGTTTGAATATGGATTTTCTACCTTTAAGTACACAAAAGAGCATGAGGTTGTGTTTAAAGGTGACATACCATGAAAATCTGACTTGTGTAACTTAGCCGACTGTTTATGTAACTCCTGTGTATTTGACAGTGGAAGCACAATAAGACATGAAAGAGAACTTAGTTTAGTACTCACATACTGACAGCCGCTTCTGTGCACGTGCTTCGGATGTGTGCTCTCAGAAAACTTTATATAAGAAGTTTAAAGGGGTCATATGATGTTGCAAAAAATAACATTATTTTGTGTATTTGGCGTAATGAAATGTTTGAGGTTTAAGTTTTAAAAAAAATACATTTTCCACATACTGTACATTATGGTTTATCCTCTATGCCCAGCCTTTCTGAAACGCGTCGATTTTTACAAAGCTCATCGGTCTGAAAAGCGAGGTGTGCTCTGATTGGCCAGCTATCCAGTGCATTGTGATTGGCCGAATACCTCAAGCGTGACGGAAATGTCACACCCCTTACCATATTGGGATGCCTTGTCCCGGCCAGAGCGACGAGACAAAAACATTAAAACCCATTATATTATAAACGAGGCATTTGTTGCATCCAGTGGGGACATAATTACGGATTATAATGACTTATACTGCCTTTTTACGTGTTGCGTTGCATGCGCCGCGTAAACATAAAACCATGTCTGCATTTGTGATCGGAGAAATTACAAACGCTACTCTACACTGCTCAAAACTCTCGTTTGAATTGTCAGTGGCAAATTCTTTAAATATAAAAAAACGTACTTACAGTCTGTGAGTCAGAACAGCCGGCATTGTAGTCTACTCTACCAGGATCAGGAAACAGTCCTCCATAAAATGCACTGGACACATCAGAATATTTGGGTTGAACTGTTCTGGAACAGTGTTGTAAATGCATCTTAACCACTGATTTCTAGTCATGTCCTCTTTTGGAAGACCAAACAAAGTAGTTTCGCTTTCACAACGAAAGACAGCGTCACACACGGCGGGCTAGAGTGAGCGGAGGCCGGAAGCCTAGAGTGAGTAGAGGCCGGCTTGAGTGAGTGGCGGCGGGCGGGTTTGAGTGAGCGGAGGTGGGTACCAAATAAAGTAGTTTCGCTTTCACAATGAAACACACAGTGCCTTGCCTTCACGACATGGTGGTGGCGGCAACAACAATACTACAGTGAGAATAAAAGTTTCGCCTTCTTTCTTTGCGTGAACATTTGGGCGTCGTTATGCAAATCTTCCCACATCATGACGTAGATATGTGGGGGTGTGTTAGAACGAGCCATTTTAGGTAGGCGTGGTTGACTCTTAAATTTTATAAAGAATATATCTTTGTATTTGTGACTTTAGTCTTTGCAACTTTACAGATCTTCTTTATGCACCAAGAGCTTGTACACTCCAAAGAGAAAGGAAAAATTTAAATCGCATCATATGACCTCTTTAAACTAATATGGTTTAAAACGCATGATTTTAGCGTGATAGACATGATAATCAAAAGTAGTTTTTTAGCAGAGAATCTGAGGAACCAGCTGTAAAGGCACAGTTCTATTCTGGAAAAGGGGGCAGGAGCAGCAGCTCATTTGCATTTAAAGAGACACATGAAAACAGCATGTTTTTGCTTCCACACAGAATGGGCATTTTCAAAATGTTGTAATGAATGATCTGTGGGGGTATTTTGAGCTGAAACTTCACAGACACATTCTGGGGAGACCTGAGACTTATATTACATATTGTAAAAAAGGGGCATAATAGGTCTCCTTTAAAGAATAAATTAATTTTAGTGTGGAGGAATATACACATCTAAAGACACAAAGGTGAGAAAATACAAATTTAACATTTTGTTTAATTTAAAGACTTCAAGAACAAATGCAATCCACTTTAAGCCGCTCAGAAATCAGTGCTGAGAACTAGAGATCAAAAGATAATGCAGATAGCATT